GTTCTTGATGTGCGAATGGTGGTGCTAGGCCTGTATTATGAAGCAATGATATGCCCCGACTTACATCATAGCATACCTGTAACCTGCCATTGACTGTGCAACACCCAGGGAAAATGATTTCCATCACATCTGCGTATTGTAGTAGTTTTTTTCTAAGGCAGTTGTGTTGTGAGAACATGGGCAGTTTTTCTAGTGGCTGTGAAATGTAACTTGCTACAGCTTCATTCCACTGTTTTCTGTGCGGTACACCAAACAAAGTGCTAAAATAGTCCAGGACTTCCAGATCTTTTCCATTCTATTCATCTAAATAATTTAGGACAGAGTGAGAGAAGTTTCAGCTTGATATTGATTTGTTGCTAAAGCGGTGCATCATTGATGGTTTTAATACACTGGGGTGTATGAAAAAGCTAATGTGCTTGCAACAGAGTCTTCTTCAGGGCCAGGAACAGCAACGCCCTTAAGTGCTGAAAGTGCCACTTAGGTACAATTTAGCCACTTGGGTTTTGAAGAGCAATCCAGGTGAACTTCACCTGTTTATATGTTTTAGGCATCCTTCACACTTCAGTTTGGAACAAAAACTTCACTAGATTACCAAACTCGTGATAGCATCCCCATGCAGTAGAGATGGTGTCTTTGATGAGGTGACAGCTTAGGTGTTCATCTTCAAATAATGTCATTTGGGATCCAGAAAATAGACCCCTCTGAAGGCACACCTGACTCATTTGAATTGTCCTAAGTTCAATTAAATATATCTTTGTTGTTTGCACTTGCCATGGTTTAGGTTTTGCTGTTTTACTCAAGCTTCCACATGCCAAGAAAATGCCCTAATAGCATATGTGAAAATACCCTTTTTACCTTGCAGTGAAGCTGAGCTACAGCTCTCTAACAGCTGAGAAGTTACAGGAGTCAGAGCGAGAGTATCCAATACTTGGTCCTGACTGCATGAGGAACATGGGGAATTTTTTAAAGTACAATTGCTTTCGCAGTGCCTGTCTCTGAAAGCTAATGGAATATTTAGAACAAATTAATTCCAAAAGATGACTACATACCTAGCAAATAGCATCGTTTATAAGCAGAACAAGTGGTATAATTTATATAAAGCAACACCAGAAAAATGTTATTTATTAACTATTTTCAGTGGCTCAACATTCCAGACTAATCTACATAAGGGAGAAAACCTTTATCTGGTGAATTTAATATTAGTATGTTTAGATGAGCCTTGTTCTCTCCACATGAATTTTTACCACAATAAATTATATTAAAACCCATGCACCCAGTTCCTTCAAGCTAGGAGTGCATCAGTTAGAAAGGATAGTGAAGTGTGAGTTATCAAAGTGCCAAGCCCAGGAAAAGTCAAGTATGGTCCTAGATTCAAGATATTTCCTGTAGAGTTGGAGAATTAAATGGTCATTGGTAGTACTAGTGAGACCTCACCTGGGATGTTGTGTACCATGCGCAACCCGTCTTTGATAAATTCAAACTGTAACATGCACAAAGACAGTCATACAGAGGATGATCAAAGAAATTGAGAGTTCATCATGGAAGGCTGGAGAGAGTAGAGGGACAAAAGCTAGAGAAATTATTATCATTAATATCTAGAAATACAGTAATTTTAAACAATAAGAATAACCTTTAAACTGGAGGACAGTGAATATAAGACCAAATAGAATAAGAGGATGGTGACTAAGGCTGAATGGGTGTAACTTGGCTATGAATGCTCTTGACTTGGAAAAAGCTTTGGCAATCAGTGGAGTAAACCTTTGGGAAAATTTTTCATGTGACTTATTGGAAAGAAAAATAACCCAATAAAAATGTAAAGGTTAAATTTGATAAGTTTAAGAAACTATTTATGTGATGTTGTTGCTTGTGGTTGTAGAGGAATATATTAGGTCCTTACTAGAACTAGGTAATACTGCGGGTAAAGCCTTTGAAGCTGTTTGTAACCTTTTCAAGTAAGTGGCAAATACATTTTAAGGACTGTTTCAAAAATATATAGCAGAGCTTAATATATCCTCTCCTTGTTTAGAATAAAAAAGGACATCTCCCAAAACATTAGTTCCTTGTAGTGGGAGTTCGGAAGCATCCTAGGTTTATCATGAGAATTCTCCAGTGCACTTATAAAATTGAGTGGCAATAACTGGTACATCCATTAAAAGGCACATACTTTTAAATGATTTTTATTCTAATATGTTTAAATGCATACCTAAATATGTATCTTAAGTTCTTCCATGTGCTGTGGGTATTGGTTAACTCTTCATACCTCTCACCCTGAGCCTGCGTTCCGGTTGCAGGCAGACCACATTCAGTGGGAGCATTGCCAGGTAAGAGGACTGTTAGTTAGTGTGGTTATTCAAATCAGCCTTAAGGGTAGTTGTGCAGTGAGAGTATTCACTGTGTTTGTCATGTTAGTAATACTATCAGGAGTTGCTGAGTTTGAAAACTGTTGGCCATTGTGTGGTGTATGGAAAAAGTACAAGTGTTTTCCTTCATATTACCTTGGTATTCAGAAACAGCGTTGTGCGTGTGTGGCAGCCAGTTCACTGTGAGCATTTGTGTATACTTTTAAAGAAAGCAGAATATTATTAGTACAGGAGAGCATTTCAGAAGGAAGTCACCTAGGTGCTTGGAGAAAAGCTGGCAGGAGTGACCCCTTGCTTTTAATTTGGCACCATGGTTTCCAGGTGCTGTCAGTTCCACTTTCGCTCTGGATCCTTCTAGTTCTTTTCCATACACCGGCATTTTGATTGCCAAAGTGGTAATGGATTTAAGCTACTTCTCTCCATTCCATTCACTTTCCCCTCTGCTGTGAACTGTCAGGGGGTTTAGGGCGGTGAAGTCAGCAAAATGTCTGGCTGGTGCTTCTCCACGGTTTGGCAAGGAGTGGGCAGAGCCCTGGCTCAGTCCTCCTGATGCCCTGGCTACCACCACTTGCTCTGTTCTTCCCTCCAGTAGAGCAAAAACCACCTGAAAATATGACCTTTTTCCTTGCATCATTCCTCTGTAAAACTTTTTCCTAATACTTGGTTAGGTAATCGCAAAAAGATGCATTTCATTTGTAAACTCCTGATATATGAAGCCGTATGGCTCTGTTTCTTTCTCCTTATAGAAAAGGAGATACATTTTAGGGTACAAAAGTAGTCTTGAATGAGTGAATGCAGTTTCCTTGAATCAAAATGAAAGTATTCTGTGGGGTGCTGGGGGTCTATTGAACTAAGTGAGATTTGTATGGCATTGACAGAATTAGGTGGAAGATCCATGTTCCAGATCAAGTCATAAATTTCTGCCTAGCAATCAGTCTACCATTCTACAGATTTCACTAGGATTATAATTTTTGATCAAATTTAAAGTGAAAAGAGTTGAGAGGAAATGATGAAAAATAGTTTTGTCACCCTTTTCCCATGTTTTCCAGAAATGTTAGTTATGCAAAACAGAGCAGGTTTTGTACTCATTTTTCTGTTTACATATGTAAAGGATGACTGGGAGGAAATTGGGACGTAAAATACATTATAGATACATGAGAACTGATTTAACTGAACTTGGTAGCATGTGACTGTGGAAAG